ATGAAAACCACACAAGTTTTTATAATTGTCCACAAAATTTAAAAAAGGTCAAGTGTATTTTTTGTTTTTTAAAGAAAATTTCATAAAAAATCATGCCTTGTACTTTGCATGACCTCTTGTAATGTGAAATACGAAGTGTTCTCAGCTACTAACCAAAACAAACTCTCTTAATTTATAAAGAAGCATCAAACATTTATTAATAATATTACATTTTTGCTTCAGTGTGTTGTTATTAATTAAAAAGAAATGTGTTTAACAAGTACCTGAAAATAATTATTCAGTTTCATATTTGCATCTGGGCTTATTTAGGTTTTAAATTTATTTGCTATGGGATAGCCAGTAAATAGCTGTCCAAGAGTGTTCAATTTCAGATTTTAGGAGTCAACAAATATTAGAAGTGTTGAAGAGGATTTAATTATGTATACATTTTGTTTTTTATAAATCTGGATTTTGAGCCAAGTGGGCTGAAAGTTTTTCTTTCAAGACAAAGTGTTCAAATGCAGAAGGAAAAGAGTAATAGTTTCTATATTAGTGTACCTTATTCCATCTTTGGCTAGGATATCTGAAAGCTAGTTCTGCAAATGAACTTCTGCAACCAAAAAGTGTATTTCAGCAAAACAGGGATAAGAAAAGAAATTGAATTAAAGTTTCTTTTTTGTATGATGGGTTGAGCTGCTGGTTTTGAAGCAGTGGCATTGACATTGTCCCACTGTCAGATGTGGCTGTTCCCAGCTGCTGCCTTGGAGCAGTTCAGCCCCCGGAGCCTGGCTGTGATGAACAGCGCAGTTCATGGAAATGGATGTTATTCCCATGGACAAATTAACATTTCACATGTTACTCAGCATTTCTTTGGTGGCAGTCACACATTTTCCTGTCTGTGTGCTGTCCTCCCTCTGCTTCTCTGTTTTCACCTCTTTCCTCTTTCTGTCTTACCCTCAGAGTCATTTCTGTAGTGTTGCTCTGTGTTTTGCTGTCACGTACTTCTCTGCTTTCTTGTTCTTTGTGCTGTGCCCCACAGAAAACTTCTCAAATGGGGTTTTTCATGTGCTCACATGCTGGAGCAGGAGGTTGGTTGTCTTTTCTCTGCTGGAGAAGGCATCAGGCAGGAAAGGGACAGCCAGATGTGTCCTACACTGTGTGAACGCTCATGGATGGTGCGTTCCATGTTCTGCACTTGGGAGGGCAAGCCCTGAAAGAAAAGGGCTGATAAAAAGTCAGGACTGTGATTCAGGGAATGGCTTTCATCCCTTTTGAGTTAGGGGTGTGACAGAGTCAGGACAAGCTCAGGCTTTGTTCCCCCTGCCTTGTCTGCCTGCCTTGAAAGAAAGACTCAACACCAGACGTGTTCCTGTCTGGCAGGAGAGAGCTGGTGGCATGAGCAGCCCAGGAGCAGGGCAGGGTGGGGAGCAGGAGTGAGCCAGGTGGGATTTTTGGGGGTTCTGGGCTCTCTCCTGCAGTGAGGGGCTCTGGCAGCAGCCAGGTGGGATCTTTGGGGGTTCCTGGTCCTCCCTGCAGTGAGGGGCTCCGGCAGCAGCCAGGTGGGAACTTTGGGAGTTCTGTGCTCTCTGCTGTAGTGAGAGGCTCTGGCAGCAGCCAGGTGTGACCTTTGGGGGTTCCTGGGGCCTGTCCTGCATTGAGGGGCTCCGGCAGCAGCCAGGTGGGATCTCTGGGGGTTCTGGCCTCTCTCCTGCAGTGAGGAGCTCCGGCAGCAGCCGAGGTGGCCGAGCTGAGGCTGTGGCTGGCGGCAGTCAGAGGCTCTGCGTGGGCGGTCAGACGGTGTCACTGCCGTTCAGAGCCAGCCAAAGAACAGCAGCTGCTGAGTTCAGCTCCTTTCACAGTGCTGGCTGTCAAGGGCCAGTTCAGGGAGGATTTCAGAGGTGACTGCAGTTAACTCTCTTTCAGAAATGATTTTGCTATTATGCCCTTTGTATTGGAAGAAGATTATTTTGTGTTTCTTTTCATCTCTTTCCTACTGCGGGTTTGTTTTCTTTTGCACGTGCATGGTTACTTTTTAATTTCTGAAGGGGCAGTGTATTCCAGCTTGGTTTAATAACTCTTTAAGGGGATATATTTTTATTGAGTTTAATTTAAATGTGTTCTTTAGTCATAGTTATGATCTGTGTAGGTCTTGTGAACATGAGTAACAGTATTATTTTACCCATATTAACTTGTTAAAGGTGGGATGTACTTATACCTGAGTATTTTATTGTCTTAGGACAGTTCTTCTATTTTGCTTAATTTGTACTCTAACAAATTGGCATTTTTCTTTACAAGTACTCAAAGCAAGTATGTGGCTGACTAAAAACTTCTGTTAGTTTCAGAGTGGACTGAATTAGAGACTGATGGCTACAAAGAAACCTTGTTCTTCATCAATGAAAAGCTGGTGATACACTAAGGATACACTGCCCTTTTACATCTCCCTCCCTGTCAAATGATTTTAAATTGTTTGTTTCTGATTGTTTGTTCTCTGACCACATATTTTCCTTTATCTACTAATAATTTGTATTGTCTGTCTTTGCTTGTGTTTTTTCATACCATTCTCTTCTCTATTCACACGAAGCAATTTATTTTCCCTTTCCTGTATTTTGTTCTGCTTTTGCTTCCTGCTTTCTCTCTGAAGTGTAAGGACAAATTACAAAACATTTTTTCTAAGCAGAAATGCACTTTACATGGTGCTTTCTGCAGCACAGTCATTTCTAAACTGTGACGTTTCACCACCTTCTTTAGTGCATCAGGTATCAGCTGTTGAAAAAGTCCTGAAACTTTAAGCCATTTCTTGGTTATTAATTTAGTACCTTGTTTTGCCTTTGTGTGTGCCTTTCTGAACTGCCTGAGTGTGGATACATCACTCCTGTGTATGGATTTCCTTGAGTTTGTTTGTCCTGTGTTTAACACATGGAGCAAACCCTGTCTTTAGAGGGCCATAGCTGTAGTTAGTGGTGTCTTTGGCCATAAATACTGTCTTTAGAGGAAAGATGGTTAACCTTCTTGTGGGCTTTTTTTGTTTTTCACTCTTGGTGGTCTGTAAGAGTGTTTTCTATCCTAAAGAAACGAGAGGATCATGAAAGAAACTGAGAGAATCATGACTTTGCTTCCTCTGTATCTTCAAAAAAGAGGTGCTGAAGAGTTTTGCACTCATTTTTTGTATCTGCTGATAGACACTGAAACTATTCCAGCACAATTGTTTTAGCTGTACTTAAATATTTTATAAACATTTGTTTGCCAACTTCAAATTGATTTTTCTGTATTAAAATACAGTACATTTTCAGCTTGAGTGTTTTTTAATTTCTTAACTTCTCTAGGCTAATATGGGCATACAGAGGAGAACAAAGTTGTCATTTGTGTCGGTGTCAAAAAATGAAAATAGTTTTCTTAAATCTGCTGTGTGTTTTAGACTGGATTTGGGAAAGATGAAAGCCAGGGTGCTTTCATCTCCTGTTGCCTGCAGTGGGAACTGAATACTGTGCATCAAAATTGAGTTTTTTTGTATATTTCCTTGGAAATTACCCAGAATCATCCAGTAAGAGACTCTTGGAAATAAAGTTTTGTTTATATATTGTGATCTGTGAATACTTGTATAAGATTGGGGTTTAAAAGTTAATGCATGGTTTTTCTGTTGTAATAATATTGGGTTTTGAGGCCTCATGAGTACTTTAGTATTCCTGTCTTTTGCTCTGTTGGTGAGATCACTCTCCTGAAAGTTTTGATGCATAACCTTAATTTGGGTGAAGAGTTCAAAATATTAAAAGAAAAAATTCCTGCCATTTATGCTGTGTCTCTCTTGACATCTTTTCTGGGCAAGCTTTGAGAAAAAGGATAAGTAAATACAAGAGCTTTGGCTTTTTTGTAAGCTAGACAAAAGCAAGGGGCTTTGGAGCAGGATGGGATTGCTCTGAACGTGCCACAGCTTGCTGTGTGCACCTGGACCAGGGGTTTATGTACCCTCCAGGCAAGGAAAACACTCAGACTTTGGTGTTGTTATGAACAAAAATTCAGTTGATTTTTTCCAGTGAGAAAAAAGTTACGACTATTGCTGGGCTGCTGCTTGTGTTATGGTAATTACGGGTCGTTGTTGTTAATGGTTGTTTTTGTCTTAGTAAAAGCCCTGGCTGGGGCGAGTTAATGGCCCTTCTCCGAGACATTGAAGGGTGGGGACCTTCCCGAACGGTGAGGAGAAGAGACCTGGAGGGAGGGGGTTATGCGAAGTGACTCCAAAGACCAGAATGCTTTGTGGGACCCCGACTCCAAACGCACGGAGAAAACCCCAAAAACAACGAGCCAAATAAGAGTTGAGAGACTGGAGTGATGTCTGGACGTGAGGAGCCGAGTGCTGAGCCTGCAGAGATGCAGAACACCTTCGGAGTCCCTCTCGCCCTGACCACGGGAGTCGTCCCCGGCGGGCAGACCAAGCCGAATGGGCGAGGAGGGACAACATCTGACGGGGACATCACGCCCTAAGACTCCCATGAGGACCGGATCCCCGAGCTCTGCCCCTGGTGGACAGAGCTGCGCAGATCCTCCTCCTCTGAGTCGCCCTGGGGGACACGACGGGGACTGCAGCCCTGCCGAGCTGCCCAATCCTGAGCTGATCACTTTTAATAAAGGCATTAAAAAGGAGAAGAAGTCTCCTGGCCCTGTTTATTTCAGGTGTGATCTGGTGGGACTGGGACCTTTTAGTGCTGCAGCTCTGCCATTTGTAAATGGCTGATGTTTGCCAGGGTGGGTGGGATGCTGGGAGCACAAACACGGCCAGGGATCAGTACAGTTTGCTGCTCTTTGCCGCTCCCTTTTCATAGGGACATAACTTCCTCCATCCTGTTCCTCTGGGAGGGCTGCCTGCCATGGATTTGTGAGTTCAGAAAATGATTAACACCCACTTTGCTCTATGTTTTATGTGCTATGCGTTTTGAGGAATCCCTGAAGTCTGCATTAAATATCCTGAACACAGCTGAAGTGTGTTTGAATGAAAATGCAGTGTTATCTTTGTTTGTGTCTTACAGGAAGAAAAGGCTTCTCTGCTTCATCGAACTCAGGAAGAAAGGAGAAAACGAGAGGTAAAGTAGCCTGTAAGCGTTTGCTGCCTGCTGGATTTTCCTATGGTGGTACATTTACAGTGCAAAGTACTTCTGCTGCTGTCATACTTAGTTCAGAAATGTTTTCTTTCAGTTTGCAGGTTCTGTATAGTCTTAAAGTATGCTTGAATTGGCAAAAGAATTTAAGTGCTTTAAACAGTTCCTTACAAGTGCTTTTCATCTCAAAAGATAAGCATGCACTGGGTGTAAAGGGAAATTTCCCTTTTATTTTGGTGTTTATTGGATCTAGTCTTTTTTGAGAAAAGATAAGGGTTTGGCTAGTAAATTGCAAATTTTACCTTATTCATAATCTGTTACTTGGGTTGGTCTCAGCAAACTTTCTTTGGCTCCTGGTTCTGCTATGGTTTCTTGGCTGACCTTTAGTTCTTCACTTCCCCAGTGTGTACGTCAGTTCTGTGAAGGTAAAATCAGAAGTGATTCTTGAATTCCTGGAAAAGAATTCAAGAAACCTGAAGTGCTTTGAAATCACCTGATAGTGAAGGATCAGTGAGAAGCTGATGTGTGAGGCTTTAAGCAACCTTAATACTGATTTATGATGGAAGCTTACTGCTCTGGAAAATTCAGGCTGGAATAGTGCAAAGGAGGAATAGGCACTGAAATGAAGAACCCAAAATTTAGCAGTATGGAATTTGAATCAATACGTAATTTTGTCATTTTTCCCCCACCCCTCCCATATAAGTAAAAAACCCCTTGGTGTTAAATACTGATAAAATACATTAAATACATGAAAAAATGTAACTATGCAGGTTTCATGCTCATAAATAAAACAGGTCTTTGGCCCTTAAAGGTGTTTTTGACCCATGCTGGATTAATCTCAAGTTCTGCAGTTTCTGTGGACAGTTAGTGCTTTTTTTTTTCTCTGCAACATGGGCCTGTAGTTATGGACTAAGTTCAAATATGAGAGTACCAGGATTTCATCCATTAGTCCAGAATTCCATGTTAAGAATCATTATGATCAATGAGTCTTTAGCAACACATGTAAAAATTCTTCTTTGTGGTCCATAAACGCATTCAGTTGCTTGTCTCTGTCCTGTGCAGAGCTGATTCAGATCCCCCCACTCATCCCAGTGCAGGTACCCATGTGCACACAGTGATTTGCTGTGGCATGGAGCACATTTTCACCAAATGAATGGCTCCTCTGAGAATAAAATCAGCTGTGGCTTTTCAAAACTGCCTCTAGCAGAATCTTAGCAGTGACCTCAGACTTTAAACCTGTGCAGTTGGGAGTCTCTACTTGACAATTGTGTGTTCTGAGATAAAAGCTGTACCTAGAGAGGACAAGTTACCTGTGTTTTAGTTGAGCCTTGCATTATGGTTGTGAAGAGACACCACCTCTCTGAAACTCTCTCCTGATTGCACTTTTACTGTCAGTATTTTGGAGAGAGAAATACCCTTTGGCCTATCAAAATTTTGATTTTGGTCCATGATATAGAGGCAGTTAGTCTTCAAGAACCCGCTTATTCGGAAAAGTTACTTTAAGAACCAAGGTTTTCCAAGAAAAATACAATAAGCCTTGAATAGCAATTTTGTCTTGTGTTGTCTGTGGTCAGTTCAGGTCCTGCTTTTAACTTGGATGTGTCTTTATAGAGCAATAAATTGGAAATCAAGGATTTGGGACTTGAAAGTTTATGTGAACTTTCCAAAAGTATTTTGATGAAATTTATGAAAACATTTTGGTGTTTTGTTTTGTCTGATGACCCTCAGAATTATAGGTTCAATATAGTTTAAGGATTGATTAGTTTAAAATTCCTCTTTTTAAGCAGGCTTCTTGATCTTTGTACTTTTCCTTCAACCACTGCTTTGTAGCTCTAGGTTCATGAGCAACTCTTTATTTCCCCTTTTTCATTCCCTAAGGAACCATATGGACATTGTTAGAAATATAATGACAGTAGCCACTTCCCATAGATATTTATTGTAACGGGATATGCCCAGGGTGTTGTCAGGGAACCCTCCAAGAGCTCTTTCCACAGCATCTCAAGCAAACTGGCTTTCACTTCCTCAGAGCCTTTGTAAAAAGGTGATTTTTGCTACTCTTTCCACTTTCTGAGGATGATGTTATAAAAGGATTCTCTACTTATGTCTGGTTTTGGAGAAGAAACTAAGAATTTTTATTAATTTCTATATTTTGATTCTGTGCCACAATGAGCTTTAAGCCTCATTTTCCTTTTCATGGCAGTACTGTCTCCAAATAACTGATTTTTTTAAATTGTTTTCCCCACATCTAAATTGTGCCAGCATCCTAATGCTTTTATATTATTTGAGTGAAAACAAATAAGTGGATTGTCAGTGTTTGCTGCTCCATGCAGAAAGAAGAATGATGTAATTGAATTTGGTGAATCCTTCAGAATTTTTCAACAGAGTGTTAAGACTTTGTCTAATAATATGCATTAACAATAAAGTGATGCAAAATAATAACATATTTATGTTGATTTCTGTAGTATTACATACTTACTGTGTATTAAATACTCTTTTGCAATATTTAATGGTAAATTTGTATTTAAAAGCAAAAAGCATTCTCACTGATGTATGTGTATTGGGTATGAACATTAAATTTTCTTTGACTAATGATTGCTGCTTAATTTTCATTAAAAAGCCATATTAATACAAATGTACTGGATAAAGTGGTAGAAATTAGAGTCAGTCCTGTGATGCTGATTTCAGTTTTCTTGCTTTGTTTTACAGGAAGAAAGGCGGAGGCTGAAAAATGCAATAATAATCCAGTCATTTGTGAGAGGGTACAGAGACAGAAAACATCAAGTCAGTACCTGATTATTTAATTAGAAAGATGCTGAATGGTTTTGTTGAAAATGAGATTTTCTTGTAAAAAATAATTTCATTGAAAAATTGTTTTGAGTATTTGAGAAAGTGGAAGTTCTTTTTTGCCTCTTGGCATTTTCATTTCAAACTCAGTATTTTGGTAAACAGTGGCATTTTCATTTCAAACTCAGTATTTTAGTAAACAGATATGTATTCTGCAAAGCATGGATGTGACTGGACCTGAGTGGGATCTTGCAGTGGTTTGTTTAGCTGATAAATTGGATAAAAAGCATTAAGTAGTAAGAACTTTCACACACCAGTAGAGCTTTTAATTTTTTTTTCAGTTTGGTCAAGGTGGTAGTTTGGGTCAAAAAGTTGATTTAGGTTGCTGTTGGATAGATTCTCCCAAGGAAGTTCTGTTTAAATTTGTTAATTTGAACGAACTGTACTAAAATGTTTGATGTGATAATGCTTGATAAGCAGCAGATTTGTTGCAACTGTGCTGAGTTACAGAAGGGAGTTATGGCTTCAGCTGTGATACCATGTCTATGTTTTGATCTCTGTACAAATATGTGTTGTATCTGTTTTACTGCTTTGCAGCCTCACTGGATGGGAAGCTGAGGTTTTGCTCTGTTGTAAATCACAACCATTACTGATGTATTGATGCATGTTTTGTTTTTAAGTACTCTATCCAAAGAAGTGAATTTGATCGCTGGGCTAGTTTGGCTCAGTCTGGAGGAGCCTTTTCCACTGCTCATGGAGCGAATTTGACTCTCTTAGTTCGCCAGTTGCTCTTTTTCTACAGACAGAATGAGGACTCCAAGCGTTTGGTGAGTACTGTTACCTACCTTGATCTGTGGTGCTTGCACTTCATGCACTTTTAGAATAGTGTTTCACTTGAAAGTGCACTTTTCACTGCACTCTGCTCTTTTTCATTTAGTCACAATAACTTAAAATTAGATTTTACAAGTGTGTGTGCCCACACACATATATATAGTATGTGAAATGAAGCCTTGAAAAATTCTATGTGTATTATTTACAGTAAGTTTTAAAAAATACTATATATCTATTAGGATTTTAATTTTTAGACAGTATTTCTACTTAGCCCCATGGTTATTCCCATGGTGTTTGGGTGGTATTTTTTTTCTCACTGTTCAGTATTGCTGGCATATCAATTGCAAAGTCACTGCCAGCTTCACAAATGTATGAGTAAGTGTGATTTGTAGTGGCTGGTAATAATGGGCATTAAAGAATTATAGCTGTTTAAAAAGAAAAAAATTACCAGATGGTGTAGTTCAGTCTTAACTTTGAAAGTTTAGTACTTAGTGGTTGTGGAGTTTATAATGAGAAACAGTTTTCTTTTTCTCAACTGAACATGATTCAATCTGAGTTTGTGTTTTGTAAGTCTTCCAAAAGTATCCATAACAGCATTGAAATATCACTGTCTGAGTTGTCATAGATAATAAAAGTTGTCATTATAAACTGTAAACTTGTGCATATCTTGTTGCAGGTATGGATGTGTCAGAATTTAATTAAACAGAGTTCTCAGTTTGTTAAGCAATTGGATGGTCCAGACAGACTTACTTGCTTATTCCAAATAAAAAGACTGTTGGGGCTGTGTTGCAGGTAATTTATTCTTTTTCTATGTGCTACTATTTAAAAAGTGTTCAGAAATTATGGTAGGCACTTGTTTGTTTCTTTTTGTAGCGAGTATTAAATGTACATTATTTTATGTAGAGGACTGTTTATATTATATATGTGTCATCCATGGTATAGGATACCTGTTCCTGTGTAGAACAATCAAATGTTCTGAAGCTCTGTTGACTTGCAAATTCAACACGTGCTTAAGGGATGCTCTCCTAGGATAGGCCTGAGTCTGTTCTTAACTGTTTTTGTATAGTGATATCATGACAATATTTGTGGAAATCAGGTTTTCTTGGGAACTGATAGTGTTTAGATGTTATTATCTGAAATAGATTAATGTTCCAAGGGTATCCTTTGAATAGATGTTGTTTGAAAACTAATATAATTGAATAGGGCTTTCCTCACTCTTTATTTTGAACTGAAGGCATATTGAGCAGTCACATTTTGGCTTCAACATTAAATTTATTATTTGTACTGGGAGAATCACAGAAGGGTAAATCTTTTAAGGTGACTTGAATATCTGGCAGCTATTGTTATTTTATTATTAGAAAACAATATATTTGTTCTTATCAATAATAGGGACTAGTTACACTCTGCAGAACTTTAAAATACTTGTTTTTATGAAAGTTGTTTAATTTAAGTCACTAAAACTCGTGTTCTTATAAGTGTAGTGTGTAAAGTGTATGTATGATAAAAGGTGACACCAGATTCTAAAGAAGACTTGGGTGGTGGACTTTAAAGTCCTTGTGCTGTGGGGCACAGATGTGGTGCCACTGCATGGAATTGTACATTTTCACTACAGTGGAAATTGTGTTTTTGTAAATGCAGCTCTTAATATGGATAAGGAAGAAAGCATATTGTTAGGACAAGTCAGTCCATGTACATCTTGCGCTAAAAAATACTTTGAATTCTAAATAGGCTCTTAGTCATCATAATTTCTGTGGCTACTGATAGCTGTTACATAAGCAGCTTGTTAAGAGGGAGGGAATGGTTGTATTTTTAATATTTCAGTCTGTAATCAAAGTCATACTGTGTTAGTTATGCACATGATGTTCCCTAACACCTGTTCCCAGCCTGTGCTGCTCTGGGGCTTTCATGGCTTCATTTGTAGTGTGGTTAGTGGTACATGTTGGTAAAACATGTATTATTCTTTGCTTCTCTCCTAGTTTATGCAGTAGACCTCCAAATTTTCAAATCACTCAGAGCAACAATTTAATAGGATTTAAAGGTAAAATGCCATATTTATAGCTACCTGAAAATCAGGAGTTATTATTATAAAGATGCCAGCAAAAAGATGTAGCTAAACGACTGAGAGCACCTGGAAATCAAGTAGATAGAAATTAGTTACTTTAAGGTGAATGTGTGGTGAAAAATGAGAAATATCTTGTTAAATAATTTTAATTTCATTTCTAGGCTACTGCAAAATTGCAATGATGACAGTCTGAATGTTGCACTTCCTATGAGAATGCTTGAGGTATTTTCATCTGAGAATACGTATTTGCCTGTTTTACAAGATGTCAGCTTTGTGACATCATTAATTGAACAAATTTTGCACTACATGGTTCAAAAAGGTGAGTGGCTAGGAACCAGATGTTCTGGGAAGTAATCAAAAATTCAATGTCTGAAGCTCATATTGTTTAATAAAATTTTTGTCTTTACCACAGACATGATGAATAAAGTGCTGCATACGCTAACATATGCTGTAGGAGGATGTTGTCCTTGTAATGAGGTCATGGCTTGAGAAATTGCTGCTTGATTTCTTTGGAAATTCTCTTTATAAATTGAATATTCTACTGAGTTATTTATAGAGACTTGTAGCACAACTTTTGATAGTAGGTGGATATTGCCCAACAAAATTTTATTCCAGAAGATGTTTAACACGCTCTCATGGACACACGCACTGTGGCAGATCTAGGCCTCAGTTGTGTAAGAGTTGATAATTGTGTTGCAGTACTGTTCTCTGTAAATGTTAATATTCATTATTATTCTAGATTGGCATTAGCTTTTCACCCTGCCAGCACTCAGACACCTTAGCAGGGATGGTAGCCTGGCTTTTATTTCTCTCCTGCCGTCATCAGCAAAACTGTTTGCTGAACTGCAGTCAGTGACACCTGTGCAAACATACCAGAAGTTAATGAATTGGATAGTTAGCACCAAAATGATGTTTAGTTGCAAAGAAACTTTATTGCTCTGGAAATGTCCAAAATAAATTATTTTGCCTTTTTGGTATGGTGGCTTGAGTTCACATAACTTGTGGATTGTGAGGAAAGACAAAAACATTTTGAAATAAATCTCTTGGATCCAGCCTCTTTGGTGTAAAATGCAGAAAGTCCATCTTCCAATCATTGGAATTGGTTATTGGAATATTTCTATATAATATTTACAGTACATTCAGTGGACTTGACTATCTAATCCTGTTTCTAAGGACTACATGTTGAAGTCACTATGAAGAAAAAAATTACTCTTAATGTAGCACATTTATTTTACTTGCCTTGCCTTAACAGAAACTATGTTTGTCACATTGGTTTTTATATAATAAATATTCACATATTTATTCTTTTAGTGTAATATTCTGTCCTCACAACTGATATATGAAAGTTTGAGATTATAGAATCATAATTTTTTTCTAAATTTAGCTTTCTGATTGCTTATTATGAAAACATAAAGAAGTGGTTTTGCGTTACTGCAAGTGTTCTGTCTCCTGATAAGTTTTGATGCTGAATTTTTAAAGGATCTGTTTCCAGTTTTCATTAGTGTATGTTTTTGGATAGAATTGGCCTTCCATGTGTGTCTGCTCATTGCTAAGCCATTCCTTTATGGGACTTCTACTGTAAAAAGTTAGGTGGTCCCTGAGAAGGGTTCCCAGACTGGACTCTCAGTGGTGTGACACTGTTTATGCATTTACAGTGTTCCTGTAATTGTGGGACTTGTGTCTCAGTGTGGGAGTTCATTGAGCATGAAGGAAGTTGGTGTAAGAATGAAATCACGTGGTTCAATTTGTACTTCAGTGAGACAAAAATAAATTCCTCTCTATACATGTCTTTATGGCATGGGTGATAATGCATTTTATTACTGTCTGAGAGGGCCCTGCTCTGGAAATAGTGATTGTATTCTTCAGTCTGCTAAGGCAAGGTGGTCACAGAATTGGGACATTCTGCCAGCAGGCCTCTTGCCTGTATGGTGCAGTCATGTTTTGGAATAGAGTGGAAAATTCTTCATTTCTGGAAGAGTGAAAGGACAACATGACTAGAGTAATTCAAAGGAGAGGAGAACATCCTTGTCATAAATCATTATTTTAAAAATAAAGTATTCACTTCAGCAAGAGTTGACTGATCTTTCAAAATCAAATTGACTCTGAATATGATTATCTGTGACTGATTTTCTAATGTCATTTTTCCAGAGAGATTTCTGATACAGTCTGTTAATTATGTGAATGTGACTTGGACTATTGTAAAATGTCTTCCTAAGTCAAGCTTCATGTAATGAATTAGAAAGTATTTTTCAACTTCATTTATTGTTTTATATGGAAAAGAAGAAAAATGATGCTGTGTTTAAAAGTGATGTTTTTTGCTTGCAGGCTACTACAAGTCGCTTTATTTGTTAATTAACAATAAGCTTCCCTCGAGTATTGAGTATTCTGATGTTTCTCGTGTCCCTATTGCAAAAATACTTCTGGAGAATGTTCTGAAGCCATTGCACTTTACATATAGCTCCTGTCCAGAAGGTGCAAGGTAAATAAAGATAATATGAAACATTTGTGTACTCATTTGCTATAATCACATGTGCAGTTTGTTGTTGTCTAGTGTCCAGCCATTTGTTCAGTGCAATTTGTTGATTTATTTATACAGTAATGATTTTTTGGTGGCACTGTACATCACTGAAGCAATGTAGTTTCAGGTGTTATTAAGAAAAAGGCAATAAAATGCTGAATGCTGCAATAAACAGAGCACAGAGAATAGCAGGTATCAGCACACAGGAATGAGGGTGTGGAAAATTTAGATGAGAGCAGAGATGCAGCTAAGGGTAGATGAAAAGAATTTCAGAGTTCAAAAGAACTTTGTGACAGATGAGCTGAGGTTTATGGAGAGAAATTACTAAGGCAGCTTGCAAGCAGAGAGTCAGGTGTGTAGACAGAGAACATGAGTTCAGGTTGTATCACATGCAGTAGGATTTTTTTTTTGCAATAGGATTTTGTGTAAAAGGGTTTTTAAGATGTATTTTTTTCTCAATATTATAAAAAATGTATTTTATTTCAGATTAGTTTTCTTCCAGTTCATGAAAAGCTTAAAGGATAAAATTGCATGTAAGATCATTAGGAAGAGGATTTAGTCTAAGAAGTTAATTTTTGAGAAATCTGATGTACTAGGATGGAATTAATGGAGCACATCTTTGCAGTCCTCTTGATGGATGTGTTCATACTTGCAAAATGATCTATTATTCTGTTGGTGTAATTGTGGGAAATTTTTCCTGTATTTTCTATAGCAACAATTTTTCTTCCTTTCAGGCAGCAGATTTTTGCAGCCTTCACAGAGGAGTTTCTGGCAGCACCTTTTACAGATCAGATATTCCATTTCATCATTCCAGCGCTTGCTGATGTGCAGACCATCTTCCCTTATGAACTCTTTCTGAATGCACTATTATTAGCAGAAAGTGGATGTTCAAGAAGAAGTGATCAAGCCCCATGGCTTTTCTACTTTGTGTTAACAGTTGGAGAAACATATTTGGGTGAGCAAGCTGAGTGGACAATTCATGGATTTTTTCATGTTGGAGTTAATATGTTATGTATTTCCTCAGCATGGTTCATTGCCAAGTAAAAAGGACAGTTTGTGGATAAAAGTGTTGGAGAGATCTGTTCTGTTACCTATTCTTACCCTTTTCATTATAAAAATGCACTAATTTGATAAGATTTGGCATAACTTATTTTGGTCAGGTATTTCTGGTAAAATACTTTTGTAGCACACTGTGCTCTCACTGATGATGATTTATTTCTCTGTATGTGCTCTAGGATCACTTTCAGAGGAAGGACTTCTTGTGTATTTGAGGGTACTCCAGACTTTTCTCTCTCAGCTGCCTGTGTCTGCTGCTGGTACAGATTGTCAAGATGCAAACAGTGATTCTGAAGATGAGGATGAAGAGATCAGTAAAATGACAACTACACCAGTAAGCAGTGCACAATTCCTGTCAATGCATTTGTGCTGCAGCAACAGCAGCAGAGACAGGCACAAACATGATCACTCTAAGTCCAGTATTTTTCTATAGGAGTAGAAGGGAGCCTGTTTGCTTCTTAAAAATTGATGTCTGTTCCCTGCAAGCAAATGGAACTGATTGTTTACATTAAAGCAAACTCCTTGCTATAACAATAGATCCAAAACTACAGATAGCATGTCTGTGCAAGTACAAAGCTTCTATTTAAAAAAAGGCTTAAAATTGCCTTTTTACATTTGTATTTTACAGAGATTTTCTTACTCTTTGTATTCTGTAGGTCCACAATTAAATTGAGATATCATGAAATACACTGATACTCCAACTTAGTGGGTTTTTTTTTCTCCTCATGGAAATAACTACAATTTTTATGCTGTAGAATAGGTCAGTATTTACCCACTAACTCAAAGCCCTCAAAGGGAAACCAACATCTGCTTCCTGTAATAATACATAGAGACACTGTTATACATAGGGCTTCTTCACTATAGTTTAAAGTTATTTATAAGTCTGTGCTGACTTTGGCCTCCTGTTACTCATATCAAGACTTTGATTAACCAAAGTTGGACAGATGTAAATTCAGCAATTTCTTACTGGCCTTTATGTAATCTTTCAGAAGAGACAGCCATTCAAAGGATATAGTGTGCATGCTTTCCTTTTAGAACTGGAGCAATTTCACCATATTTAAAGTCCATTTAAAAAAATCAGAAGAGCCAGGGAGTACTTGCAGCATTTTACTTGAGTGGTTTTAGATGCTGCATGTTACTGTCACACCAAAATCTTTACCAGTTTAGTGTGAATAAAATACTTTTTTTGCCAGGCACACATACTGTGTGTAATGTAGATATTGGCAGATTATGCTTAGAGATCAGTGATGCTTGAGAGGTGATTAGGTAAAAACAAAGCAGTAATTTCTGTTTACAGATAACTTACACTAATTCATAAATTAGGAAAAAAATCTGCTCTGAGAAGGCTTTATATAAATAATACTCTTTATTGCAATATGGTTTTTTGTGTGTTTTTCCTGTGATTTTTTGTACATATTATGTATTTTTATGCATGCCTGTCTTGCAAAAAAAAACAAGGTGAGTGGGTAAGCAACCCCTCTTTCTTTAAAATCTGTAACTGATTCACTTGTGTCCTTCAATGAGCCTGACAGCTTTGCTCAGAGGAAGTTAGGAAAAGGTTAAGGTGGACTCAGTTACATGCCAAGAGAAAGCATTCCTCTTCACACACTGCTAGTACTACCCAGACATGTAGTGACCACCCTGAACTTTGTTGTCATTTGTTAATCCAAGAGATGTGAATGTGAAAATACTCCTTATAAAGGAATTTAGAGTCAACATCCATTTCTGGGTTTCATGTAATGCTGACTGATGTCAGTGGAGAAGAGATGATTATTCACATGTTTCATGCCAGTTAGAGATTTTGCCTAATTATGTGTAAGTATTACAGAACATACCGGTAGTAAAGGCAGTATTTCCACTGGCCTCAGTGAAGGGTGGATACCAAAGCTCAACACTTACCTGCCTGGGACTTAAAGTTGGTTCCTGGATCTGATATTTTCAAAACCTGGATATGTATATGTGCTTCTGTTTTATTTATTGTACAAGAAAGCTTCATTCTAGTAAAATTTGGAAGTATTTTTTAATAGAAATGGGGATATCATTAAAAAAAAAATTTAAAAGTAAACATTCCTTTGGTGTGTTTGTAGGGTGATGGGAGAATATCAGTCCAGTACATAACTGAGGAGTGCCTCAAGAAATTGGACACAAAGCAGCAGACAAACACTCTGCTGAACATGGTGTGGAGAGATTCAGCCAGTGAAGAGGTCTTCACCCTGATGGCATCAATTTGCCACACACTCATGGTACAACACCGAATGATGGTGCCAAAAGTCAGGCAAGTAGAAATAATAGTCATCTTCAGCTGCAGTACATCTAAAATTTTCTTAGATAGACTTGTTTTAAATTCCTTGTGGAGTTTTATCTGTGTTTTCTTTTATAACTAACTGAAATAAATCAGAATTTCAGAATTTAAACAGTAATTCCAGGCAAACCAAAGAGTGGATTCTTTGTTTCTTACTTTTCTTGCTGGTCACTATGCCCTCTCAGGATTCTTGTAAGCATTTGATCTCTTCCCTTGCTCAGAGCAAGTGTTGAGTGTCATTCTAGTAGAAATTGGACTACCTTGTTTCTAAAACATTCAGTGCTCTGAATTCCCCAGTCTCTCTGGTTAGCTGAGCACTGAAACCAACTCATTCACACCTTTCTTTAGTATATGCCAAAATCTCTTGCTGCCTATTAAAATAATTGCTAGCTATTGAAAATTGCTGATTTCTTGGGAGGGTTTGGTACCTGAGGTAAAAATAAAGGGCATGTTCATTTGTGCAGTTAATTAATTACACAGGAATTAATTAATAGTTAATTCCGAACTATTGAAAAGTGCTGGTTTTTGGGGAGGATTTGGAACCTGAGATGAAAATAAAGGACATGTTCATTTGTGCAGTATTCTTTTACTAAGATTGTTTTGACATTTGTGGTTTGCAATGGGAGAAGATTTTTGACCTTTTTATTGTCAGACTGAGACCCATAAGTATTAACACTTCTGGTGCAAGTAGTTTGGAGTACCTGTGTAGTTGCTGGTAGTAAAGTTAGTATTCAGGGAATGTTGTAAACATAATTCAAACTGCATTGTAAACAGTGATACAGAAAACTAATTAGGTGCTATCTTAGCCCAATGGTGTTTATAGCTGCTAGAGGAAGTGAGATGTCAGTGAAACTGTGATTGCTCGATTAGGGTAATTAGTTCTTTGTAGACTAATTGCATTAGAGCAGGATGTGAGACCTGAAGATCATAGCAGCAGTTGAATTAGTGTGCTAGCTTTATTGTTGTAAGTAGTACATTGCCTTGGATAGTAATTACTGAGCTTAAATGCATCACTGCTTTGGCTGGGGGCTTGCTGGTGAACTGTGTGGAAAAGGGTGTTTAAGGAATAAAGAAGTCACCCAGCTTTAATTGTAGGAGTATGGCATCTATTTCCTCTGAAGAGCTCTGTTGGGTCTTGGCAATTATTTGTGATAACAAGCTATTTACACATTGGGTACATTCAGGAATTATGAAAGCTCTACTCAGCATCTTCTAGTAGAAAATAATTTTACAAATTGTGACTTTTGAATAGCTGAATTTTAGAAATGAGTAGGAGATACTAAGATTTCTCTCAATTATACCAGTGCAATTACTATTGGGGTCAAAATGAACTTAATTTACACAGATATTTGGTAAATTAAAGTAGACATTTAATTACTGGTTCTGACTTAGAAGTCAGCTGTAAGTGCTGAGTTTGCCTGGGATCATCATTTCAGCAGCTGTCAGTCTTTTGTCCTACTCTCAGTGCATTTTAGGCATGGCCTAGGTTACCCAGTAGCTATTCTAAACATAATTTTTGAGTATTTTTTGAAGGACAGATGATGCTTATTTGTGGAATTTAAAAATATAATTGAAAGACATTTTGTCATTGTTTCATTTTTTTTGTCTGGTGATTTCTTTTTAATGCCGAAATAATTTTATCAAATGTAATTCTAGTCTTTTGAAAGATGCGGCCCTTGCTTTGCAACTTTTACTTAATATACAGAGTGAAGTATATCTGTTTAATAAAACCATGTAGAAATAGTTAAGCAAAAATAATTTATATGAAATTATTTTTAATACATTCTAAGAGCCAATAGTGCTCTTTTATTTCGTGTTTGAAATCATACTGGGTTTAAAATAGGAGTTGTAAATAGGAGTTGTAGTTTATTTAATGGTATATCTGTGCTATAAAGTAATTATAAAAACAGAAGCTTCAAATCTGAAAAATGGGATAATAAATACAGTAATAATTGAAAATAATTTTTCAGTAGCAGGAAAATTGAGCTAAGATTGACACAAGATATGGAAGGGAACAAATGACAAATATCTCAGTATTGTTTTAATAGTTCTGAGGTTTTTTTTCCTTCTTGGACAAAGATGAGAATTTCAGAATATAGACTTGTGTCACTGTTATTGCTGAATGCTTTTTTTTTCTTGAGGCTTCTCAATACTTTTATAATTTGACTGATGATGATATTGTGTGATGTTAGGAACATTGGTGTTGCTGAATCAACTCAGTGTTTTCCTTGATTTTGTAACAGAGACCAAGTCCAAAACAAGATGCCCACAAGTATAATGTAGTTTTGAAAGGAGCAAGCCTGTGAAGTGATTTTCTGATGCTGTAGACAGGGTGGTGGGATCCAGAGGTGGATAACTGAAAAAACACATTGCATTGGGTTTTTTATTAGGAATTTTGATGAATTCTGAAATAATTCTGGAAATATGCATTCAAGCCAACTTAAAGAAGGTCACAATACAAGAAAAACCTGTAAAAACTACAAATACAAAAAAAAAAATGTAGCTTGTGTTCAGTAACCTGGATTAGAGGTGTAAAATGAAATCCTGATTGTAAAGGAGCCATTAAGAGTTTTCAAAAGGGATGAGGCTTTAATCTTTCCAGGATGAAGTTGATAGATATTATTGAATACTGTTTCTAAAAAAAATGAGAGAATTTTTTTTCTTGGACTGTAGTTCTTCTGGAGAGACTTGCAGGACTTTTTTATCAAACCAATGCTTTAAATAAGTAAGTTGTGTTTCTGTAAGATATTTTGAGGTGTAATTTAATACCTTAGACTTCAGCTTTATTCCAGCTGGTGTTAAATGGTGGTGGAGGTTGTGCTGGGACGTCAGTGCCTGAGCAGTGCCCCGAGTGCAGTGCCTTGGGTAACAGCTGCACAGTCCCTGTTCTCACTGCTGCCATTACTGCAGCTGCTCATCTCAGCCTGAGGCTCAGCCCTTCTCTGCTGTGGTGTGAGCAGCCTGTGCTCACATGTGTGCTGAGATACCCAGGCTTTATCCAGGCTGTTATGGTCATTCTTTAGGCAGCATTCTGACACTGCTGTGTTTTTCTTAAAGCTAACATCATTGCATCTGCAATTTTAATCTTTTTTTAAGCTTTACTGTATGTTCATGGTCCAATACAAATAGAGGTAGAAGCATAAAGCAGCCTGAAGATCAGGAGAGTGCATTTAGCAGTGGCTGTGCTGCTGTGTCATACCTGTGACACCTCTCAGCTGAGCAGTGACAGAATCGGAACGGTTGGATGGATGGGCAGAATCGAATGGGATGAAGTTCAATAAGTCCAAGTGCCGAGTCCACAATAACCCCCTGCAACGATACAAGCTAGGACTGTGTGGCTGGACAGTGCTCAGGTGGAAAGGGACCTGGGGGTGCTGGTTCACAGCAGCTGAACCTGAGCCAGCAGTGTGCACAGGTGGCCAAGAAGGCCAATGGCATCCTGGCCAGTATCAGGAACGGTGTGGCCAGCAGGAACAGGGAGGTCATTCTGCTCCTGTACTCAGCACTGGTGAGGCCTCACCTGGCGTATTGCATCCAGTTCTGGGCCCCTCACTTTAGGAGGGACGTTGAGATGCTTGAGCGTGTCCAAAGGAGAGCAATGAGGCTGGTGAAGGGCTTGGAACAGAAGCCATATGAGGAACGACTGAGGGAGCTGGGGTTGTTCAGCCTGGAGAAAAGGAGACTCAGGGGTGACCTTATCACTCTCTTCAACTTCCTGAAGGGTGGCTGTGGTGAGCTGGGGGTCGGTCTCTTTCTCTGGGCAACAACAGACAGAACAAGAGGACACAGTCTCAAGCTGCGCCAAGGGAGATACAGGCTAGAATTAAGGAGGAAGTGTTTTACAGAAAGAGTGGTCAAATACTGGAATCATCTACCCAGGGAGGTGGTGGAGTCACCATCCCTCGAAGAGTTTAAAAAAAGACTGGATGAGGCACTTGGTGCCATGATCTAGTTGAGGTTTTAGAACATGGGTTGGACTCGATGATCTTAAAGGTCTTTTCCAACCTAGAATTTCTGTGATTCTGTGATTTCTGTGATTCTGTAATCTCTGCCCCAGCAGCAGTGACCTGTCGCAGGCTGGATGAGCTCCTCTCATTCTGCTGTATTCTCTTCATTAACTTAAATGGTCTCAGTGGGAAACTGAGCCCAATTTATGACCTAGACTGAAAATCTTGCCTTTAACTAATTAACTTGTAGTGGTGCCTCAGCTAAATTAAGCTTAATGGGTCATTTAATCTGTCCCATTGCACAGGAGGAATTTGACACTTTTTTTAAACCAGAGGTGCCCAAAATGCTAATCTGGCAAGTAGACATAAATCATGTGGCCTTTGTGGACAATTAGATACCTAGAGAGAGAAACAAGGGTCTAAATAAATGATCGTTATGTACTTACTTTTGGGAACAGATAATTTAATTTGGTATGATTAAAATTGATACTTAACAGGAATCACTAAAGTGAATTTAACTCTATCACAGCCTGAGGTTGAGGCAGTGTGTGTTTTTGCACTTGAAAAAAGTTTATCCTTTCTGGTAGCAGAGAAATGTTTCTTTCTTCCAAATAGTTGTGCTAAATCTTAATATTGGACTTTACAGAAAATCTATTAATGAATCCATTACATAAAACATGTATAATGATCTCATAATGAAGAAGTTGGTGGCATTCAGTGAGATTTTCAAGAAAATGCAAAACCTCCAGATATGAGGAATTTAAACTTTAGCTGTTTCAGTTTTTTTTTAGAATAGTGCAAATATTGAAAATGAAACCCGAGTTAGATTTTATAATTTAACATAAAAATCAAAATGCCTGTAATATTTTTTATTTCTAGTTCTTTTTCTGTTTTTTTTTTTCTTTAAAGGAAAAAGTGGTCAAGACTGTTCGACACTCAAAACCAGATATATATACATATTAGCTGATCTTGAAACTTTGTGAATTCCTAAGGCTTTTTCCTCAGGATGTATGAGCCATCCCTGTACTCTTTTGCAGTTTATCAGGAATTTTTGCACTGTGTCATTTTAATGTAGCTCTACTTAGAAAGGCTGTTTTTAAACAGGTGAACATCTTTTATCTGCCAAGGAAAAAGATCAAATAAAGTAGATTTTGACCTATTTTGATTCTCCAAGATTTTTTTATAACTTAGCCATTTTTTGCTTTTCACAGTGCTTTTTTTTGTCAGTGTGAAACCAAAAATTTTGAAACTTTATTATAACTGATTTTGTGTAGCTACAACTTCCCAAAGTCATCCTTGCATTTTGTGGTGGGTTTCTTTTTTGTAGTTTTTGGTTACAATTGTCATTTTGAACTTTGAAAGCCAGTTTCTGTACTTGGAATGGGAAGGTAGTTGGATTTTTCTGCCATCTTTACTTTTGCAATGGATTAAATTTCAGGTGAATCTAGCAATGCAAATCTCTTTAAACACACAGCCCAATTCACCATTCTGTGTTCAATTTCCAGTTCTGTGTTTGTTTTCTGGTCACAGCACAGAAACTTTAGAATGGAAGCTTTAGAGCAGATGAATTCATTTGCTTCATAGTTACAGTTATTTCATATTAATGAAACAGGCTGTTGGTGCCATCTTCTACCTAATGTGCATTTTTGTACTTAACCAGATTTTCAGGAAAGGGAAATGTGAAAGTGGAATTAATTCAGCATTTCTGGATCTGAGCCATGAAACAGAGCAGTTGCTACAATTGACTGCCTGAATCACGGATATGGAATAAAAATGGCTAAAACTTAGGCAAAGGTTATTATTATAAGCTCTTAAGGTTTGTCCTTTTTTCCCCTTCATTACTGCTGAATATTGCTAGAATGAAAAAATGAATTACATTATGATAGGTTCATTGTCCATAATGTTTGTTCATTTCTGCTCAAACTGGTACATAATTTCCAGGGATGATTGAGAAATTAACAAGTTTTTACTTGGAAGCTGTGTGAGACCTGAAGGCAAGGTGCCAAATTACTTTTCATTTTAAATGTGAGGCTGAAAACTGAAGGTCACTGTGGAAATTTCTCATTTCGGAAACCAAGACATCTGAGCTATCATACAGATATTTAAACAGTAAAATACAAATCCTTATTCTAAATTAGCTGGGTATGATAAGGCTGTCCTTACATGTTAATGCATAATTTTTGCCAAATGTCAAAATAATGTGACTTTAGAAGGGAATGGAATTCTCATGTATCAAATTGAGGTTGAATTTTTTTGAAAAAAACACAGAGTAGAATTTAATGTAACAGCAAAGCATATCTTAAACTGGCATCAGCTGCAGTTGCTTCAAATTTGACTTGGACTTGGTAATGTTCCCAATGTGCAATTTCTTTGAAATCCATGAAGCTCCCAACTCTTTTTAAATGTAATGATCTATGCATTTAAAATTCAAAGAGGCACAGTGCAAACTCAAGGCTGCTTGTTTCATTTCCCATCTTCCTGCATGGCCCTATGTGTATTTCCAGAACTCCCTGTAGGTGTGAAAGGCTCCTGTGTGCTCAGTGAGTTCTGCTGCCTCCTGCTGCTGCCTCCCCGGTCTGTGTGTGCGGCCTGGGGGCTGCAGGTGAGCTGGGAGCCCGAGGAAGGCACCAGCTCAGGGTTGAGCTGTGGGAAGGCAGCAGGAGCAGCCAGCTCAGGGGTGTTGGTGAGAGGGTGTGTAGGTGTTCTTGTGTGGGAGTTAAACCATTCTCCAATGTTTTAAAACCTTTAATGATATTTTACTTTTTTTCTCGAATGAAATGTGGGCTTCTTTTCCTTTTGCCATCTGGCAGATATTTATTTCCATGTGGTCCACAATAATACTTTGTTTTGTGGCAGCAGATAGTCTCCCCTGCCTGCTCACATTTCCCAGCCTCCCATCTCTTTTATGCCTGGTCACAAGAGAATTTTGATGTTACAAAACTCTTGGCTACTGAGAGATGTTGATCCCAGTATTTCTTTTACTTACTCCCTCGTAGGAATGAGGAGACCTAGGGAAGTAGCATCTAGAAAAATTAACTGAATGTTGTTCTTGGATAGCTGAAAAAATGACTGTTTGGTCAGTGAAATCTGGTTTGGTTCCTAGAAGACGTTGTTTCAAATTATTTTGTCTCATTTGTTGTTTCCTATGAGGGGAAGAAAATGTGCTAGGGATGACTTTTTAGTTTTAGGAAGCTTTTTATTTCTCTTTTCTATAAGAAGTTTTTGATAGTGTAATCATGTCTTAAGTAATGTGGTTAAAGTCAGTCCTGTGTATAACTGGCTTGTGAAATTACACATTTACAAACTAATAAGAAATTTTCAAATAATAAGCAATTTTCAGTTTACAGGTGGATTAGTGCACATGTAGCAGTCCTGACATTGTTCCATTGGTGTTCAATTTCTCTCTGCCAAGCTGAGTATATCAGTAAAGCTGCTGTAGTTCTGACGTAAATGAAGATATTTTAATCTACCTTCTGTGAAAAATTACTATGTTTGTTACTGTCAGAAGAACCACAGAAGTGACCTATTAACTAGTTTAGTGTAACTTTCTGTATTAGAATTTAAAAGGTCTCAGATCATTAATTCAGTGATTCATGTTAATATATGTTGAATTCAGCAAAAGACTGGAAATGTGGGTTTATATTGTAGGGTTTGTTGCTGAAATAATGAAAACTGTTATTTATATTGTGTGGTTTGTTGCTGAGATAATGAAAACTGTTATTTTTGATATAAAGTTTTATATACTTGATTGTCAACTTTTGGGGTTTTTACCATGTTTGATCAGAATAAGACCTTTCATGTGGAAAAAGTAAATTTAAGTTGTTAATTTCTGAAAAAGGCTTGACTGGAAAGTTCTTATAGAAACATTTGTGTTTTGTGAATTTTGAGTATTTTGGATGACCCAATTAATTTAACTTTTTTTTTTTGCAGGCTTCTTTATAGTTTAGCCTTTAATGCCAGATTCCTGAGGCATCTTTGGTATTTGATATCTTCAATGACGACACGGATGATTACAGGGTATGTATTGTACCATCTCTGGAGCTGATTCTTTGTTAAAGTAGAATATCTAGTGAAGAGGAAATGGGACAGTTAGAGATATGGTGACTTACCTCCTGTGATTTCATAAAACTGAGCAAAATCTTGGAAATCGGACAGAATTAAAAAAATACTTATTTAAAATGAGTTGAATATTTGGTAGTTCTTGCAGTGCTTACAAGCATCAGTGGAGCAAACACTGAAGCTCCAGGTGGAGCCAAATGTGTGAGTTTTATCTCACATGCTCTGACTAGTCCATAAATAGATGGTGGCAGAAGCACTTTCCTGGAGCTGAGGCAGTACAGGTGTGTTCAGTGCTGACATGCAGAGGATTATTCTCTTTGCTTTGTGACTCCAAAGTATCTACAGTCTGTATTAGTTAATGTCCAGGTTTATTTGCCATGCAGACACTGAGGTACCAGTGACAAGAACTTGTGAAGAGTAACTGTATTTTCCAGGAATTGAAAACAATAATTATTTAACTGAAAACACCATTGTTGTATTGCTGTTGGAGCTACTACCATATTATTTTACCAGCATGCTGAAGGTAGTGCTGTCATAGAGTATTTTACTAACCCTCTCTTCTGCACTGCATTTTGTATTTTAAGGTCCATGGTGCCACTCCTTCAAGTGATTTCAAGAGGCTCTCCAATGTCCTTAGAGGACTCCAGCCGAATTATCCCTCTCTTCTACCTTTTCAGTTCTTTGTTTAGTCACTCACTTATTTCTATTCATGATAATGAATTCTTTGGTGACCCAATAGAAGGTGAGTTTCAAACATGCTCAATAGCAGTGCTTTGTAAAATGTTTTTGTGTGAGGCTTGGGGCCTCCCTGGGCAATGATTTGCTGACATCTGGGAGGAAGGATCTTCTGGCCTGGCTTGCTGATGGTCCCCTGAGCACTCAGCTGTCAGCTGGCTCTTTTATGGTGATTGCACTTAGAAAAAAGAGAGAAAAATTAATGGGCTGCACCTTGGGAACCCTAGCTTTACACAGGGTCTGATATGGAAGTTCTTAATCATGATAATTTTTAATGAGTTAGTGAAGAGAGTGAACTTCTTCTGGACTGAACCTGTAGTTTAATGTATAAATTTAACATGGCAGGAATCACAAGAGAGATCAAGGTGATATTTTAATTAAAATAGTTGTGACTACACACAATAATAATATTTGATCTCCTTTCTAAATATTTACTCAATCTTTTTTTTTGGGGGGATGTTTCTTTTCTCTACATTTAGATTATGTGTGTGAATATTAAAGTTGAATTAAATAATTAGGGTTTTTAAAAGTAATGTAAGGAAACTTAAGCTTGTGTTTCATGTAGTTGTAGGTCAAAGACAATCATCAATGATGCCTTTTACACTAGAAGAGCTTGTAATACTGTCCCGCTGCCTTCGAGATGCCTGTCTGGGAATCATCAAGCTGGCTTACCCAGAAACCAAGCCCGAGGTTCGGGAGGAATATATTGCAGCATTTCAAAGTGTTGGAGTGACAAAAAACACAGAAATGCAGCAATGCATACAGACAGAACAGAAAAGGTGGATTCAGTTATTCAAGGTAAATGGTGGCAATTTTCAGAACGTAGCTGCATAAAATTGTAATGATTCTGCTGAAGATATAAAATTAGATTTTTTTTAATGTTATTTTATTGCTGTTGCAGCAAGGAATATGGATTTGGGAAGATTGCTGTTTGGCATATATGCTAAACTTCAAGTAATTTAATTCTGATAACTATAACAATTTTTTTTTCCTTCTGTTAACTCTTAATTTTCTTCTTGCTTGTCTTGTTTATGAAACAGTTACTGTGTAAAATATGGGGTTTAACTTGGACTCCCTTTAACCAAAGTGCTTAAGCATGTTGTCATAACTTTGTATAGGTGTGAAATTCTAACAAAATCTAATGATTACTCAGGTACTTCTGTATTAGAGACTTCACTATACTGGTACTGTGTTGTATTGGATTCTTTGTAATCTCCTAGAACCTGTGGGTATTCCTCATTTTGGGTTTGCTGGAGCACTAAAGGGAAGGTGAATCTGGCTTAGCAAATATGAATTTAATGTATGTTCTTTCTGGGTATCTACCAGTGTTTTCCTGCTGGTTTTATCCGTGGCATCCTAGCTAAGACATGAGTTAAGAGAAGCTGAAAACGTTAGCAGAAAAAAAAAACTCTGATATAACTGTTGCTGAGAAAAAGGAGTGCTTGACTTGTCATGAAAATTCTGCAGCAAACACATCTAGTCAGCTAAAATTGCTCATTAAAGAAGTGGGAGCAGAAGAAATGCATTTTCCAAATTGAATGCTAGATTTACAGTCTGTTTAATACTGGCGACCTCTCGCACACTAATGTTCAGTTCGAGTCATCAGCTGTCCCTTCAGGTCTTTTATCACTGCTTTTGTCAAGCTATCTATTTAATTGAAAGAAGTTAATTGAATGAAAATGATCAACTAAGCTTGTATTAATATTGCTAATGGAACTTTCTTCTTGGCCATGTTTGGAGAAAGATGTCATGCTAGACTTTAGGAAAGGCCCATTAAGGCTTGCACTTAACCTGATGGGCTAATTAAGGAATGCTTATTCATTCTACAAGTCTAAGGTAGCCTCTATCCAGCCTATTCTGCCTGATTTTACAACACATTTCACTTATGAGCATAAGCATTAATAGCAGTGAGGGTAACTGATAATGTTTTGATTGCATTGAATACAGTCCTAATGCACCACTGAATCTGTAATTTGCACAGATTGATCTAATATGTGTTTGCACAATGTAATTTAATTACTTGTCTTTAAATTGCCACATAAACTTTTGATTTAAAGGTCACTAATGAAACCCCCAATATGTGTTTTTTTCTGAGAAAGATGTCAGACCAGGGGTATTTTTATGCATGCAGTTTGTATCATGCCTCCTTCTTTTTGTTTGCTTTAGTTTGTTATGCTTAATCAATCTTTGTGTAAGTTGGTGGATTTCAGGTGAATTTGATCACATTTTGCTGTCATTGAGAGAGCTGTAAAGTTCTGAGTTACTTTGTCCCACTTTGGCAGTCTGAAATTAAACTTGTAGTGGAACTGTCAAAACTGGGTGTACTCTTATTATGTTCAGGAGCCAGAGTTGTCTTGCATCAGCTGAACTGGAAATACAAATCTTGAGGGTATCTGGAAGGCTCCAGTTCTACCCCAAAAAAGAATATAATAGCAAAGCTTCCCTTGTGTGCTTCTTCAGAAGCATGTTTGTTGTTACAGATAAAAACTGAACATGGCTAAAGGTAATGTCGCCAGGAAGACTCCTGTGTATAGCTCTGAGTCTTTCCTGACAGCAGCTTCAGAAAATTGCTTCCTGCCAGTAAGCAGGCAGCAGTACCTTCTTCCAAATCATTAAAACAAAGCTAAAGTAATTAATTATAAATTCAAGTAGAAACTGCTTTTTCTTTCTTTTAACTGTGTCAAATATATATCAAATATATGGGATTTATCTTTGCTAAAGCTTTTGCAAGCTGCTGGTAGAAAAAAGCACATTCCTTCCTTATCTGTGCTTTTAATTTCTCTTTTTTCTTCTAACTCCTTACTTCTTTTGTGTATTTTCAATACCTCTGGTGTCTAATAAAATACATATGTGTATATATGAAGTGAATTAAATTATATATAAATATATATGTTTATTATTATTATTATTTAATATATTATATAATGGTAAATCTGGAAACAGTGAGGCTGCTGATAATGATGTGCATATTTGCTAACAGATTGGAGGTCTTTGGTAAGATTTACATGTGAAAATGTCTTCATGCAACAGAAGTCTCCCTTTTTGGCTTTGTAGAATGATAGTATAGTCAACTATACAGATTCCATAGAAAATCTTAAATCCATTTTCATATACTCATAACTTTGTTCAACAGAAGAATTATTTCACCATCTTGAGTTAATCCGGTGAAATCAAGTTTCTGATTTTGCTGTATTTCGGTTTTAAATGCTGCTTGCACTGGATACTTTATTGGAAAGAAATCCCCATTTTAATATTTTTATTGCAGTGCATCTTCCCTTTCCATGGAATACATACTTAGGAAAAATTTTACAAGGGAATGCAGAGTGTGGGTGGCAGCTGGGTTGGTGTTCTCAGTACCAATACATTCTGCAGGAGAAACTCCAATTTCACCTGATCTGATTCAGCTTCCTTTAAGGTTTCTTTAGCTGCTTGTAAAATAATGTGTTTTCAGATAGTCTTTTCTGATTTTATTTTAATTTTAAAAAACATTTGCCTCACTTAGTGATAATGGGATCTGAGAGCTTCAGTGATTTGTGTAACCTGCACTGAATTTTATAAGGGAAAGGTGATGAAAATTCCCATGTAATCAGACAGTTCACTTAATAGCATTCTTTGTTCTGTCTTGAATAAAGACATTACCTTAGAAACTGGATGTTAAAAGCTCTTTTGTGTAGCATCTAGACCCAGAATCCTTTGGAAGGCCCATTGAACTTTGGTACTGTTGGCACCTGTCTATTAAGACTGTATTTAGCAAGATTATTTCTATGAAAAACCCTGTGTACACTTTTCTTACTCATTTTTCAAGTGCTGTACTTTGAGTTTGCCAAACAGATGGCTGATCATTGTAGCAGTGATAATGTCTTTTTAGCTTAGTAATTTACTGTTGTATTGATTCCACTTAATTATGTTTTATGTAGTGGTGGGTGAACTTGATTCAGCTTTGGACAGAAGGCATGCAGCTGAGTATGGCAGCTCTGCTTGAGGTGGAGAATTTGTTAGCTTGGTTTCTCTACTTTTTACTATTTTTTTTTTCTGGATTGGAGAAAATGGCCAGGAAAAACACTAAAATTGCAAAGATGCCATGATAACAATTTTTCTCAGCCTCTCAATTTTGCTAGGAAGATAAAAGAACATTATATACATACCTAATATACATTATATACAAACCATTGGATACTTGATTTGGTGTTATTTTCTTTAAATAAGGTGTTTAATGTTGATAATGATTTGTTTGAGCTTCCTTGAACTGGCATGCAGCACTTCAGGTGTGCAGTACTGCTAAATCCTATGTAGTGCTAGTTCCTAGATTTTGGAATGACATGTTGATAAGCCAAGTTTTTTGATGTCTTGCAGGTGAACCATGATTACTTAATTTCATTACTTAATTTAACTCTAACAGCAAGTTTTTGTGAGTTAAAAAAATAAATGGCAATTTTATATGTTACTGATTAAAAAAAAACAACTTTTGCTTTGTGAATTATTTAATTTCATTCACAATGCTTAGTGTATTCTGAATGTGTGTGTTTCTGACACCTAGGTCATCACAAACTTAGTGAAAATGTTGAAATCTAGAGATACAAGGAGAAATTTCTGTCCACCAAATCACTGGCTGTCAGAACAAGAAAACATTAAAGCAGATAAGGTAAGAGTCATGTCCTTTTCCACAAAGCCCTGCTGGTGCCAAATTTTCAGTGGTCAGGTGTTTGATTCCTGACAGTATTGGTGATGTTGCTGTTGCACAGATTGTATGGTTTAAAATGTGGAATAATGTTGCTTTTCTCTAATGTAAGAGTCTTGCCTCTGTTAAGAAACTTGTATGTTAAAGCACATTTCCAATCAGTAAAGGGGAACTTGCCCCACAGTGCAAGAGTGTAAACATTGCATTTATAGCAGAGGAGAAGGGGGAATCTGGTAGCATTTAGTTGCATCTTCTCATAGTAAAAATGCTAAATTAAATAATTGCTCTATAGTGGGGAAAATTCTCTTCTAAAATAAAATTCAGCAGCATTTTCTGTACTTACCTCACCTAGAAATGACTTTATTTTTCTAAGAGCTTTTGAAAAAAAGGACATTGATCTCAAAAAGTGAGTGTGTGTGTGCAAAAGAAAAAGATAATACCTGCTGTGGACTAGATTCCTTTGAATCATGACACATGCTCAGTGCGAAATAAACAGAATATTTGATATCTCAAACTTCAAGTTTGGCTTCTCTAGTGTCCTAAATACCAGAACTGAATGTAACATTGTGTGATATTTTTAAATACAGGGCATTTATATTGTACTGTTGTTAATTGTGCAGCACCTCCTGTAAGGCACAAGTGTAAGGAGGGATCAGCAGAAATGAAGATGTCTCAAGATGTGTCAAGGGAAATATAGGTTGGAAAAAGGTTTTTATGGAAAGAGTGATAAAGTTCTGGAATGGCTGCCCAGGGAGGTGGTGGAGTCCCCATCCTGGGTGTGTTTAACAAAGCCTGGATGTGGCACTGGGTGCCAGGGTTTAGTTGAGGTGTTGGGACTGGATTGGCCTCAATGATCTTTAAGATCTCTTCTGTGTGATTCTGTGAATTCTGTGAATTGAGGCATTCAGACACACTCCTGCATGTGACAGCTTTGTGTATTTAGTCTGCAGCAGTAAATGATGATGTGTAATTAGTCCTGTTTAACTGTGAAATCCTGTTCATTTGTGAGGTCACACAGCTGTACGTGCCATCGGCCAGACACGTGTGGAGAGTCAGGAGGATGGGGAGAATAGGACCCCTGCAGTCCACTCTGGATGGTAAGACACTGTCCATGCAATTGCAGCTTTGCTAAGTCAAAATAAGAGATTGCCTTATGCAAAGAAATGTCTTCTCTAGAATGCAGTTGAGTATTTTGTAGCAAAATCTTGCTAACCAAAAGCAAGACAATCTTTCATAATTTTGGTTAAGATAGTTTTTAAGATTGTGTACTTGTATGTATGTGTGTAAATCTTTATAATATGTAATGTTATTTAATTTAATAATTTCTTTGCCCAAGCTACCACTGGCATTGATGAGGTGGAGAAATGATGTGTTCTTAAAATAATGTATTAATTTGTATAAAAGGCAGTTGAATTGTACAGAAGATGTAAAGCATTGAGATCTTGCTTTTACTGTATACTCTAAAGAAGTATTTTTGTTCTGTATTAAACTGCAACAAACAGGCTTTGTATGGTAAACATTAATTCCTGTTTATAAATATTGTGTCTAATTAGATAAGGCAGAAATGTAAACCTCTGAAGTAGTCAAAATACCAGGATTTTATGGAGCTTGCAAAGAAAGATTAGAGAATGGGACAAATTTAGCAATCAGGGTAAATTTACACCAGATTGTTCTAGTATGTTTTCTCATGTAGACAGTCGGTTTCTTCCAGCTTTTCATACCTTTTCAGCTTCACTATTCTAGAATTTTACCTCTCTGTGATCAGGTAAAATAATCATTAAATCACTGGCACTTGTGCAGAATTAATAATGAATTTAAAATGGGGCCTTTAAGCAGCAAAATGATTCATCTGCAAGAGTCCTTGCTCTCTTTCAGGATGATGCAATCTGCTTGAGTTAGTTTAGCCAGATCCAGTAGATCATGGAGGGACTGTGGCCTTTGAATGCTGCTGTAGGGTTGTACAGAATTAAGAGCTTTGGCCAGGGTGGAAGCCTAAAGACTTCTAGTGATAATTTTTATTTGAGTAGCTACAATGGTAAAAGTTAATTTTGATTACCTTATTAGTGTAGTTGCCAGATAATAACTAGTTGGCTCACTTCAAGTACTGCTGAGAATTATTGATTATATATTTTTCCAGTTGGTTTCTTTCTTTGGAAGTCACTGCTTCTCCACATCAGCAATCCTTGTTTCTTTCACTGACCTGCATGACTCTCCACAGCTGTTTATACTGTCTGGATGTTCTCCATTGTCAAACCTATTCCACATTTATCACTTCCACATTCTCCTGCTCTCCTTGCCCTCACACCTACACTACATTGAGGTTTTCCTTCTCCAGCTGCCCCCACTTCTCTCCATTTCATGCCTCTTCTGCTGTGGGCACTTGGGGGATGAGGAATGCCTGTGCTGTGTGGGTGTGAGCAGCTGTGTGCCCTCCTTTTCCTGGCTGGCACACTGAGCACTGCTCTCCTGGCTGTTGCTGAAGAAATTTCTCCTCTCTGGCCTGTGAAAATTTTCACAGTATTTGGTATTTTCGAATTTCCTATTCTCTGTCAAAGTTGAAGTTCAGCTGATGACCTCAAGAGGTGTGTTGGAGGAAAGATGGCACAGTGTGTTCATGTAAACCTTGTTTTCATACAAAGTCAGGCTAAAAAGAGAGTGCAGCCAACATGAATGTGTGAAAACAAGCAGGTAACCTTGTGCACATGACTTGTTAAATCCCTCTTGACTCCATATGGGTTAAAGCCAATTAGCATGAAAGTACTGCTGAATCACATATGGCCATGTTTATTTGTGCTTTTTCATTTACTTAAATGGCAGACTTGTGAGTTCTAAATGCCCTCTGTATTGATGACTCCATCCCATATTTCTCTCTAAAGAAAGAAGCTGTGATGGAGAAATGCAGATAAAATTGACTAATTGACTGAAATAATTGAACTGTCGAAGTCATGTAGTAGTTTACCTTTGCTGTACATGCACTTTTCATTTAAAATGATTTTAACTGTTAGCTTAATAGGCTTCATACATTGACTTTAATTAAAAATGTTTACTAAGTAAACTAAAGATAATCACAAATCAGCATTTTGTCAGAAATTCCAAAGGCTTGCAATGTTGAAACCTGCTCCCAATGAATATATATCAAGATTAGTGATGTTTAGGGTCATATCCTATTAAATTGGTCCTTAAAATATCCCTACTTCACGTGCTTTGAGGATATAAAAAAGAAATAAAAAAGAACATTGAAGTGTTCAGTCCAGAAGATTGCACAAGATGCTTGTCACCATGGGTAGAAGCCAAAGAAAAAACCTTGAAACTGTAATTAAAAACTTATAGACAGGGTAGTGACATGAAGCATTTACTTATTTTGTAATGCACTCTATGTGTTCAGACTGGAGTCTTTTTTCAGAGGTGATTATTAAACATGAGAATGAAACAAGCAAGGAACTGTGGGTGTTGTTACCTCTGTAGACTGGAGTCAGGTGGAGCTTTGGCCACAGTGGCTCATCAGTGAGCAATACTGACTGCACTTAATTAATTTACAGTCAGGTATGTGCTCACCAGCTGGGTTTCCTCCCATAGAGTTAGAGCAGGATTGTCACTTCTACTGTGCATCATCAAAAGTTCAGTTGTTTCCTAAAAATACCCTGTGAGTTCAAAGGAGCTGCACAGTAGTTTGGGAACTGCATGAATGAGTCTCTCTGCTGTGGCTTCTTGGATTCTTCTCCAAGATTTTTATCTTAAATACATTATACACGTTCGTGATGGTGTTTTCATTGTTTCTGCAGTCAGTGGGATTTAATGTGGTCTCTGTGACTTTACTGTTAGGGGAGAAAACTCACTGAAATAAAAGTTATCTTTCTGTTGGTTTCCTTAGATTTGGTTTAATTCTTAAAGTTTTTACCAAAAATGACTTGATTGAAATTAGAATATGTAGTTGAAAGCACAGTAACTGTAAACTATTCTGAACATGAAAATAGGAATATTGTCTATTCCTGCAATGAAAATTCTAAATCATCAGTTACTAATTGTCTTCTGTCATGCATTTTTTCCTAAGCTTAAATGTCAATAAGGAGATTTTTTTTCTGAATAAAAATAGAGGTACAGAAGTACATATTTTTATATGCATTTTGGTTTTGTATATTTTCACTACTTATATTTCAGTTTGCCTGTAGCAACTAATGTTTAAGGAAAGGTAAGGCTTTGAGTGAGTATGTAGTAAATAAACTATTTTAATGTATGTGTTTTTATACAAAGTAGATTGAGTCACTTGATACAAAAGAAATTGTTTTAAAAAAATGTTCTTTCCAAAATTTTAAAAATTATTATTTCTGTTTTAAGTGGGTTTGGAGCCAGCACCTCTTTCTGTATCTGAAGAACGACAGCTTGCAATTCTGACAGAGCTACCTTTTGTAGTTCCTTTTGAAGAAAGAGTAAAGGTACCTAATTTCTAATTTAATATGCATTTCGTGTTTTTTGTTTTGAGTAAGTGTAAAAAGAGCACTTAGTGAAGTAGAAACTGGATGGATTCCCTACAGAAGGATATGGCACTCTGCTCTGTTTTTCTGCAGTACTCATGCAGCAGCTGAACATTTGAAGTTACTGACTTCTCTTTTACTTTCCTGCTTATGTTGCCCTTAATAATATTTGCATTAAAGTTAGGAACATTTATTCTGAGGCAGCTGAGAGCAGTTTGCAGTCCTGGCTCAGAGATGGCTCTACCTTGTGGCACCCTCTTGTGGTGGCACAGCCCCGGCCGTTGTGTGCTGTGCCAGAGTGCAGGGCCACCGCTGGGGACTCAGCAGCGCTCGTGTGCCCCACATGAGATCGTGGATCTCCATTCTGGGGAATCAACACCTACAGATTGAGTTCCTGCATTCATAACTGAGTAGCTGAACTTTACTAGAGTGTATACTTGAAACTTGCAAGATTCTTGTACTTGATTGATTGGATTTGCTTATGAATGGTTTTGAGATTTTATAGATGTAATTGTTAGTTCCATTATCTATTTCAGTTTTCATCATTACTATTCTTAAAGCTTTTTTTTCTGTTAAGCATATTTTTTTAAAACTGGCTTAGTTTTCAAAAATACTAATTATTTCAAAACTGCTCCCTTAATTTTCTTGGAAATGCTACTTTTAAAGACACCATCGAAGGAATTAAGAGTAATTCAATAGGGAAAGTCAGTCTTTATTTGTCAAAACACAGAGGCAACTTTGGTAGAAAATGTGTGATTTTTTCCTCAGGCTTCTATGAAACAGTTGTTCCAACAAAACATCTTATTACTGTATGGCAATGGCACACCAGGATTACAGGGAATGATAGGAACTGATCTCGAGCAGGGGTCTCTGTATCATGACTTAGTCACTGCCTTCTAGCCTCTGGAATTCTTAAAGCTGTGTTGAGATGCATACATGTTATGTTTTTGGAATTCATAAAGCTTCTTTTGGAATTGGAATTCATAGAACCTTATGTGCTTTTATCACAAAAACTGAAGTAACAATGGCATGAGAGCTTGGAGATGAGGATAAAGCTCTGTAGTTCAGAGAAGAGATGCTGTTACACTGTGTTTTGGAACAAGTGTGTACAGTCCTTTTTGTGTAACAGTGGGAGTCAGCATTCCTTGGAGTCTGCCAGTGCCTCTACAGAGCAAGTTGCAATAAGGGAAGAAAATACCATGGCCATAATAAGGGGTTTTTTTTCCCCCTTTTGGTCAGTTGCTGTCTATTGCTCTGTAATTTAACGTGATAAGCTCAGTGCTGCTTGTCTGGGGCATTTCCATGTGCCCTTTCATTTTCTGACTTCTCATGCCACTTTTGCCTTGACTCACCAGATGACAGATGCTCTAACCAGCATTTGCAGAGTTCAGTTCCATGGTAGGCTCTGGAGCTTTCTGGCCCCAGGGAGTGTTTTCCCATTCAACCTTAAGGCACATTAAGGTTGAATGGGAATGAATGGTGCACCTTTCAGTCTGTGGGAGGAAATGAATCCAATTTGTAGCAGTGCCTTGGCTGTCACCTTCTTAGGCCATACTTTGGTCAGTTTGCCTCTGGTGATGCTGCTTCCATGGTGTGTGCTTCAGTCAGCCTTGCTTGTTTTTCTCTGTCTGAAGTCATTGCAAATGCTTCAGTTATGCATTGGAGTTCTCATTTTCAGGACTAACATCCATGAACATTGGGTTGTGTAGGGAGTCAGAGTCTGTACCAAAATGAGTTTTTCTATGAGATGTAATACCAGGTGATTTTTTCTATCTAGAGTTGAGTAACAATAATTAATAAACTGTATCTAGGGCTGCTTCAGGAAGGAGAGTGGTGATGAGCATATTCTCATGCTCTGTACATAAAAAAGTTGCTTGTGACTACATGTCTGGATGTTATAAAACTGTAGAAAAATTAAGGCCAGAAGGGACCTCTGGAGGTTCTCTAGTCCACATCCTTCCTCACACAAGAATAACTTCAGACTTGGGTCAGCATGCACAAGGACTTGTCCAGATGAGTTTTGACTCTCTCCAGAAATGGAGATTTCACAAACTCTCATGTAACCTTTTCCAATACCTAATCCCTCCCATTATGAACTTTTTTCTTTATGCCCATCCCTTGTTTCTCTTTCTGCAGCTTAGGACTATTTTCTTTTGTTTTCCTGCTGTGTACCTTAGGAAAGATTCCTGCTTTGTCTGTACTGTAATCTTCCTGGTTGGAAAACGTCTTCTCCACTAGCAACAATTGCACATAAAAACAGTAGATTTGAGACCTTACTCTACCTTTGTTTGCTGTGATCAGATTTTCTCTTTCATGGTCACTTTTTTGTTTTTAAAAATTCCTGCAGACTGTTACTTAATGTTCTGAATTAAAAAATGGTCTGACATATTACTGGGAGATTATATCCCTTGGGAAATATGCTGTAGTATTTATTGAATATGGGAATGATGGCAAGAGAGAATATAGTAATCCTACACTTGATGGATAGAGGGAATATTATTTTACATTAGGCAACCCCCTCCCATGCTACATCCTGGTATAGAAACACAGTGAGCTGTAGTTACTTTTCAGGGGAGCAGTTTCCTCTTGTGAAGACTTGAAAATGGACAGTGTGAAATTGAATTTGTGCTTCACCTGGCATAATTGTTTTGAATTTTTATGATGCTCTGGTTCTTTTTTTTTTAAATATAGTGGTAATATCCATGATTTTAATCTGAATTATTTGTTCACTGCTTATACAAGGGGAACTAGTGCCTATTTTCTTATTACTGAGAATGTTCCTGACCATTGCAAACAGCAACAAAAAATTATTTACCAGTATTTAGAATAACTTCTGTGTGAAATACTTGTGGGACTTTTTAAATTTGTTTTTGAGTACTTTGCATTTCAGAACTCTAAAAGTCAGGGAGAGGAAACTGGAAGCACTGGCACAGTGTCTGTATATGTGCCTCTTAATGTAGAAAAACCTGAGGATGTTATTTTAGCACAGAAAAGTTCTTTGCATTTCTGTCCCCCTCCTCCTCTTCCATTGGTTGTGTATTAAGTTTCTGCAGCTCAGTGAGAGAGTAGACAAATAACTTGAAAGTGAGTGCCAGAGGCAGCTCAAAGGACAGTAACAGTAATAAATAACCATCTCTCATTGAATATTTAGATCTGCACAATGACATGATTGCTCTTTTCACTCATTTAAACAGATTTTTCAAAGATTGATCTATGCTGATAAACAGGAAGTTCAAGGAGATGGGCCATTTTTGGATGGAATTAATGTCACTATCAGAAGAAATTATATTTATGAGGATGCTTATGATAAACTTTCTCCTGAGAATGGTAGGTTTGCAGTTATCAGTTTGTTACAACACTTTATTGTTCTTATTATGTAGTTCCATGTTTGCTTATTGGACTGGTATGCTGTAGGTGTATCAGCTCTGAGATGTGAAAGTTCTTAAAAGTTAAATTTCCTTGTTTTTACAGAAGTAATTCTCACCCATATTCTTTCTGATCATTGCAGTCCAAATGATCTCTTTACACCCTCTTCTTATGGTGCTTTTCTTCCCATTTGCTCGTCCAAATAATTGTAATTTGTATATTTTTCTATATAATTCATTAGATATTATCTGCTTTGTTAGTCCTGGCTGAGAAATACATATGGACTGAACAGGATTTGCTTGGTACAGTATGTCTGATAATAGTGCAGGGCTCTTTTTAATGATGGGATGTAGTACTGTAAATTTTACTACATTGAATTAAATCACATGTTTGTATGAATCTGTGATCTTGTGCTCACAATATTTTATATAAATAAAATTTTCAAGTTATTCCTGAGTCTCTTAATATTTTGTAGGATTTTTTTCCTTCCCTTACCTATGGTATTACCTACTTCTTTTTTTTTTTATATCTTTTAAGACAATATCTTTTCTACAAAGTGAGCATTTCACAAACTGAATATTCCAAAATTCAAGCCAGTAATAGGAGTTTTGCTACTGTTTACTAGGTCAAATTTTATGCTAACATAAATAGTTTGTGTGTGTAGTTACATGTGGTTTTATCCATACAAAACTGAAGCAGACAATTGCATTTGAGTTTGTCTCTCTGCTTTCCCTGCAGAACCTGACCTAAAAAAGCGCATTCGTGTTCACTTGCTTAATGCACACGGTCTTGATGAAGCTGGCATTGATGGTGGTGGAATTTTCAGAGAATTTCTGAATGAACTCCTCAAATCAGGATTTAACCCTAACCAGGGTTTTTTTAAGACCACCAATGAGGGGCTGCTTTACCCTAACCCTGCTGCACAGATGCTGGTTGGAGACTCCTACGCCCGACATTACTACTTCCTTGGGAGAATGCTTGGAAAGGTAAAACCTGTGGTCTGGAATACAAAGCTATAGCACTACTGAAATTATGCAGTAATGGGGTTTTCTAATTAAGAGGGAATGGGAAAAAACAAAGATTTTTCCCAGACTTGAGAGAGAGTAACTTTCAGATATTGGGTATGAATGTTACTACTAAATTTCTGGTTGATTTTAATAAATTATATATTTGGGAAGTACAGGAAATTTGTGTTATCCTGACTGCCAGTTGAGTTAGGTAACAATAATTAATAAACTGTATCTAGGCCTGCTGCAGGATGGTGAAGTTTACATATGTGTGCTTCTGTGTATATCCTCATGCTTAAGGTTATGTTGATTGAATTCACCAGCTCTACTCTGCATATAGTGATTTTCAACCTGGAACTTTTAGGACTATGACTGCAGTTACATTTCCATAATTTGGAATACATGAAATGAATGTTTTAAAGTTACTAGTTGTATGAGGTATACCATTTTTGATAGCATTTAAAATTTGCCATCAGCATTTAAAATACTTAAGAGGCATGTGCAAATTACTTTTCACATATTCTGTTTGGGGTCTTGTACATTTTGCATACTTCTTGAGTTTTAGTGCTTGATAATTCGGTGATATGAGTGTTCAAGGGCTAATAGATGCTCGTTGAGCTAGATGAAAAATGGAGGGAGAAGAACAAAGACAGAAACCATTACAAACATTAATTACATTCAATTTTCTTTTATGGTCAGGTTTAAAACTGAGGCTATTTCATTCTAAGTACTCGAAATAATTTTTATAAAGCTAATAATTGTGAAACAAAATTTGGAATACAAATTCCATTTCAGAAAAAAAAAGTATTAAATACTACTTAGCTGTCTAATACTGAAGGTATTTAAGATGTAGAAGTCCCATTTAATTGTCTGCAGTATTTTGGGGGCTAAAATCTTGCTTCTGCCTTTCAATGAGGTTTTTGATGTCTTTGTGGTATAGCTGGAAGTGGTTTCAAGGGATGTTGTTGGCAAACAGTGAATTGTTGAACCACTGCTGTGCTTGGGAGTTGCCAGTCAAGTGATTTAGATCAAACTGCTTCTTTGTAAGCAAATACCCTGCTAATGCATCCCAGCTACTGCCATATCCAAATCTCCTAAACAATGAAATTACAAACCAGCCATTTCAATAAATAATCTTTGACTGATGTTCCCACTCCTGTTGCAAGATGGATTCAGTACTAAGACAACAGTTGGTAATTATGTCTGATACTACATATCCAAGCTTCATTTTCTTTCTGCATGTGTAAATTTTTGGAGTGGGAAAACAAATGCTTGTGGTATTGTTTAGGGGGTTACTTCAACCCAAAAGTGTTCTGTGTATATCTAGGAAGGGCTCATCTGTCAGAGAAAGTTTGAAGCATTATTTAAAAAAAAAAAAATAATTTTGAGTCTTCAGTTTCTTCTGTCAAAACAATACATTGCCTTCTGTAACTGAATTTCAGATATTAGCATAGAGAGAGAAGTTGCAAAATGTGTTTTATCTCACAGAGTGCTACAAGTAGAGTTTTTTTGGGTTTTTTTTTAATCAGAAAATCTATTATTTAACACTCTGAAAGCATAAATTGTTTTTGTATTTGCAGTATGTGTAGATAAGGTAAGAACTGACAGTGCTACTTAATAATTACCCTTGCCCATGTGCACGGACACCTTTTTAGTGGTGTGTTCAGAGACTTGATGAATTAAACAGAAAGATAAGGCACGACCATCATATTCCAAACCTGCTGGTATTGTGATCTTGGTTAGGTGATTGAATACCCACTCATCCATTTTCAAAAATGTGTCCATTTTATGCTTTGCACAGGGCTATTTGTGAGCAATAGGGAATTATTAAAAGCCCCTTTGCAAACAAAGTAGATAGAATGCAGCGGAAGCAATGAGGCATCCACAGCAATTTCTTATTTGTGGAAATCAGTGTGCAAAGAGTGCTGCCACCAAAAACTCTCACGTAAGAGGCTTCAATGTTATCAGAAAGCAAATACATTAAAATATAATAATTTATAGAAATTCTCTGTCTCTTGGTAACCACTTCATACTAATATCCAAATGCATTTAACTTTCAGCACCATGAAGTTATACCTGATTCAGTTTTTCTTCTCATCAGGAGGTTTCTAACAGCTTGGCATCTTCTTTGTTAATTGGTCAGTTCAGAAGCAGAAACATCTTAAAATATAAAACAGATCTTGAGAAATGGTATATCTGAAAATAGAAATAATTTTAATCCTGAAAAAATTACTGACTTTGGGGTATCTTTCTAGTTAATGAAGAAATTAAAATCTGTGTACAAAATGTTCATGCAGCTTTTGTAGTCACTGGATGAGCAAAAGGTCTTGTGGAAATAATACTTTGTGGTCATGTAATTGCATATGTTGTCTGAAATCATCCTTTAAAAAAAAACAGAAATAAGTTTGCTTAAACAGCAGCTACTCAAACACTTCCAAAGTTGACATTTCTCAACTGTCAGTGACTTTACTCTGAAATGTAAATATTACCTTAACACTGGTGCCTTTTAGGCATTTTCCTGTCTCTTCCTTAAAAGTTAAAGCTCAGTTTGCTGCGCGCAGTGAGTGTCTCCTACAGCCAGAGGGGTTGCAGGCTTGAACCTCTCTGTTGCCCACTGGAAGCACAGCTGGGACTGAGCCCCAGGCTTTGCCTGAGTGTCCAGGCAGGGGAGTTCTAACCCCAAATCCTCTTTGTTGTCCTCTCTGTAAAGTCAAGTCTTCCTGTCCCAAGTGGTGTCCCAGAAGGATGGATGTGATCCTGTTGCTCTCTTGGTAGTTTTGGGCTGTGGGCAGGCTCCTGGTTTGGTTCCACTTCCTTTCCACGTGCAGTAGTTGTTGTTCTGGCTGCACTAAAAATCTCCCCATGTGCAGACTTTGCTACTGCAGGTTTGGGGTGTAGTGGAATTGGCACAGGCTGCCAAGAAGCAATGAAGCAAGAAAGTTTGGAAGCAACACCTGAGAATATTAAATAAGGGTTTTCTCCATGGTGGTTCTTGAGTTGTCTGCTGCAAACCTGAGCAGAGGGAAACACTGGTTAACCATTCAGGCAGAAACAGTGTCCAGGCAGAAGAACAGTGAATTAAAATCTGAACTTCACCATGTTCTGACCTAAACTCCCAAACATACTTCTCCATTTCCAGTTTACATTTGCATTTATTCAGTGATGTTACTGTGACAGATGTGGTGGAAAAGGACATTATTTGCATTTGGAATTCTTTGACATAAAGCTGCTAATTCTTAGGATAATTTACTTAAATTTCATGAAGTATCTGCATTAGTTTAAGAATATGGCAGGAAATCCATAGATAGATTAGTATGATAATTTTTATGGTTTCCTCTTCTTCCTTTTTGACATAAACCTGCTAGTTCTTGCATTTATTTTGTTTTACAGTGACTGTCTTTGCATGTTAAGCAGAGTGACTCTGACAGTAGAGATTTTTGTATTATACACTCAGTGCCTTTGAATTTACTGAATTCTACCTCCTCTCTTATTCCAGAATATTAAATAGCACTTGTGAGTCACACATTCATGTTGCTGAAGAACATCTATTTTTGAAATAAAATGTTAAGTCCCCTTTTCTAAACAATAGAACCTGCAGTCCTTGGGAGACACTAAGGTTTCTGAAAAGATTTAGATTTGTTTTGCCAAGACCCAACTTCTGCCTGAAGTGATTGGGAAAGCAATATGGAGAACAGAATGTCTTTTGAGTTGTTTTTGAAGTGAGTCCTTCTTTTGTGGAACCCAGTAAAGAAGATTCCTAGAGGAAGCAGCAAGGATTGAGGAAAAACTAACGTGTTCATTTTAAATTTTAGCATTATTTTGATGGTGGATACAATCTTGGTTTTGTTATTTGATCTTTAATATTTAATGGCATATAGGAGATCAGTAATTTGCATGGACTTGTGGATATTATATTGATAAAAGCCAAAGTTGCTTATTTTTGTATGAGTTTTTGTAGTTTACTGATTTAAGATCTAACAGACTGCTGCTCTTTGCACACATCTAAATGTTACTAAATATATGTAATTGAAAAAAATAGATACATGCTAAGTCCTTGAGTAAAATGAAGCTTTAGAAGAGTAATAGTAAATCAAATAAAGATTTTATTACACTACAAATTAATGAATGGGACCTAATTTTTGATTAGATTATTCTTCTGTGTATTAGAGAGGATGCCTTATGGTTACTGTTTGTAACTTTGAATATTGTGCCTCTGTGGAAGGTACAATTCTGAGCTGAGCAGTGTCTGTAGAATCCAGTCTGCACAAAAACTAAAGGAGTTCTTAATCATTCTCAGGCCTTATCCAAATATTGATTCAGGGGAGTCTTCCCACAGCAAGATCTGCATCAGATCCTAAACTCTTTAATTATAAATAAGCTGCATGTATGGAATTAAAACACTCAAGGAGATGCTTCTGATAACATACTTGAGTGCCATTCATGCACCAAAAGCTTGTGGAAAGAAAACAAAGCAAGAAAACTACAATGAGAACTGGCTTTCATATACTGGATTGTTTGGTGTCAAGCATTGCACTGCCACTCTGACTTGGAGGGTGGTGGTTTTTTCCTTCTGATTTTTAGCCTCCTATTTCAATTTTCTTATTGTTATCTTAATTAGACCCTCTTTGGCTTGATTTAAGTCAGTACACCCTTAATTAGTTTGTTCTGCAGCCACAATTGGTATTACTGGTACCTGGAATGGTAGGTATGGGATTGGTGATACTGATGCAGAGGAGGTAATTGATTAAACTCTTGGTTTTATTAATTTCAATTAGCTCTCACATGACTTTGTAGCTTCAGCATTTTACTTAAGAGCAAGTTAGCTGATGATCATTTGCCTCAGAAAATCCTGAATCATCTGATATGGAATCAAAACAGGAATTCACCATGGAAAGTAGCGTGGTCCTTTAATGATATACCTACAGTGCAGAAACACAATCCTGAGAGAGCAGAATTGGTACCTTATGGGAGCTATTTCA